AAAGAGAGAGGGGGGGTGTGGGGGGAGGCGGGGGGGGAGAGAGAGGGATCACTGGTCCGGGTTCTGCTCTCTGATCTGTAGGACCGCTCCTCTGGCAGTCCCGAAGTCCCAAAAGGAGTCCCAGTACTATTTGCCATCCCCTTTTATTCTCATCCCTCAATGTGGGCTGCCTCCTTAGAAAGTTTCATTTCTGGGCAGAACTCAGCATTCTTCTGCTCTCAATTAGTTACATTTAAATTAGCCTCGCTTGCTGTGTAAATTAGCATGCATGCGCCTCACAAGCGCAGGCGGCAGCAAGTCTTTTCGGTCTTGAATCAAGTCGCTGGTCGTGATTTCCCCCTGCTGCATTTACCTTCCCCTAGTTACTGCGGATTTTTGCTGACTTCGCTGCCTCTTGGGCAATCACCCTTTGGTGCCTTCTGAGACAGGATGTTCCCTCTTATCAGTCCTTAGTTAAAAGTTTCGTTTGATCAATTGTGAGTGTTTGAGACAGTTCTCGGAGAAGCTTAGGGGAATCTTCACTCCTCCCTCGCTTTTACCAAGTTCTGTCTTTGCTGTTCTGCGTCCTCCGTGGAGCAAATAATCCCCTTGTTCAGAGGGATTTATGGGTTGGCAAAAGATGGGGTTTGTTTGGCTTCCCGCTTGCTCTCCCGCACACGCTCCGTCCAGCTCTTCGCATTGGGAAGCACAGCTGAGTGGGAGTAGAGGTTGATCTGATTTCCAGCTGCAAGACTGCTCAGTGGCCTCCTGCCCACCTTCACAAGTTGATTGGAGCTTCTTTGGTTTCAGTGGAAGCAGAACTGGAGCCTAAACAAATGATGTGCTCCAGATTGTTATGCTATCATTGATTTGTAAATTTATCTTTTTTTTCATAAGAATCAAACTGGCAGGTTTATAACTAGCTGTTGACTAGGGCCATTTACTATATAGAGTATTATATATTACTATACACACAATTACTGTATATACTGTCTAAAATGGACACTTTGAATTCAGTGGTGACTTTGATTTTAAAGAGCAGATATCAATAATATACTAGCAATATTTTGCAAAGCTCAGCCTGCTTGATATAAGTGAACCCTTAGATTAAGCAGGGCAAAAATTTAGTTTAAAAGCAGGAGAGGAAAAACATTAGATATTTAAGTAACAAAGATTATCTCTTGTGAGCATGTCCGCTACTTTTGCCACATGGGATTAGCTTTTCAGTTTGTTTCCATCGTCAGAATTTCTGTGCATGTGTAAACAATTAGAGGCATTAGAAAACAAATCCCAAGGAAGAACTGTGAATTTGGAAAAGCATTTGTACCCAAGTTAAGTTTTGTGGTAGCCCAGTGATATTCATCATGCAATTGCTGTAATATTAGAAGTAACCACATCACCAAGTAATCGCAACCACAGGAGTGTTCTGCAATCTCGTATAAGCACATAACATGGATTATAGGTAAACCATAAACGTATATTGGTGAATATGATTCATATCCTGACTTGCAAAAATAATGAAAGCAAGCACCCAAAGTATGCATACAGCAGACTGGATTTTGTTCAGCAGCCACAAAAAAGAAAATAATGTGAAGTTCAGAGGCAAAGAGTGACGTTACATTCTATATCACCTAAATTACATGTTAGCTGAGCTGCAGGAACTCTTACTGTGGGGCTTTTGAACTACGACAGATGTAAGATAATTTGGTTCAGTGCTGTTATGGTAGACCACGTCAAATTATTTTGCTTGCCTTTTTGTAGGTTAAGAGCATGGACAAGGACAGTTATCACAGCTCAAATGGGGCACAGTGTTATTAAGCCATGATAATAAACTAGCTATCACTTACCATAAAAAAAAAAAACCAACATAATAACAAAGAGCAAATGAGACATGGGCAGCACCGCATTAGATCAGCACTGAGAATCAAGCAAACAAGCAAACAATCGATCAAAATGCTTGTGTTTCCCTAAC